TCCCAGTTGGCCTGGAACTCATTATGTAGACTAGGTAGGCCCAGATCTCACATCTTGTGGGACAGGACCACACCTGACCTTTAAAAAAAAAAAAAAAGTACTGAAAATTTTCCAGGAGAAACGTGAACAGATTACATGAGCCCTGGAAATCAAAAAGGAAAGAATTTGAGATTTATTTTTTTGTTGACTCTGACATAATCAAAAAACAACTGAAAGATATTTCTCATCTGTTGACATCTCAGACTAACATTCTGTGAATCCACCAGACAATTTTATTGTGAAAGAAGATGGCAAGGAAGGAAGCTGTTCCTTTCCTAAAATACTTCTGGCATGGACTTTTGCGTTAATAGAATTCAAATGTATGGATAGGAACTAGAAGCGGACGATTCTGGCTTCAAAGACATTATCTACCATCAAAGAAAAGGACTTTGCAGAACTGGCTATCTTCTGTAAGCATAAGACTCCATTCCCAAAATCTGAATATGAGACTAAGACTTGAGGAACTCTGAGGCTTACACCTTTAATTCCTGAACTTGGGAGGTAGGACAGGTGGGTCTCTGTGAGACTGAGGCCAGCCTGGTCTGGTGCCAGGCTAGCTTGGGCTATGGAGAGACCCGATCTCAAAAAAAATAGATAAGTAAATAAAGGACATGAGGAACCATTTTGTAAGAACTCAGCATACTCTACTCAACCTATGCTTGCTGACAGCATCTTAAAACCTTACATTTGCTTTCTACATATTGTAGCTAGCCAGTGGGAAGACAATACCCCTACAACTGGAAGATCTCAGTTTGTGAACAGAGTGCACTGTCCTTCCTGGCCCTGCTGCTGCTCACCTGTCACCAGAGTTCCTATTGGGTTCAGCCTTGTGAGTTTTTTTTACTGCACTAAATGTGCACAACACAGTTGAGATCCTCTGTGTACTGCAGAGCCGCGTATCTGCCACAAACTCTTAAGTCACATTCCTCTCTTGGCTAATCCTAGCTCTGTTTAGTTTTCTTAAGAAACTGGCCCAACATTCAGGAGGCAGAGGCAGGCTGAGGGCAGCCTGCACTACAAAGCAAATTCCAGACCAGCTGGGGCAACAGTGAGACCCTGTCTCCAAAACAAAACAAGACAAAACTGAAACTAACAAAACGTCTGTCTACCCTCTCACCCACCCAACCAACCAAACGAATAAAGAAATTGGCCTGGCTTTTGGACGCTTTAGGAGACTTTGAAAGTTGGCAGTGTGCTTTTTTATTGTAGAATTGGTTTATGTATATGAACATGAGGAGTAGATGAGTCTCTGACGCTGGCTTGCTTTCTCCTAACAGTGAGCACAGACATGCATTCTCTAAACATGCCAAAGGAAAGCCCTTGATCCTAAGATTATCTGCAAACAAGAATGTCTCAGCATAAAATTTTAGAGTACCTACTTTGCACCTTAAAGCTTTGAAGATGCAAAAGAGAGAACTTATCAAAACAATTTAGTGCCCATTTAGAGTGAAGAATAATCTCTAGACCCAGAACACTCTGGTCCCAAAGAGAGTTAACTAGTGGTGTGAACAAGCTGAGGCATAACCTCGATGTTCTTGGTTGATGTCCTTGGGAAAGTCACCATGTAGCAAAGTATGTGACACCAGACTAGTCCTAGTCCAGAATGTAGCACCTCAGCACCTAGGGCTACCTTCTGCTTTTCTTGAAGACTTGATTGTGGAGGGACAGCAGCTTCTGGCTAAATAACATTCTTGAATTTCATTCCTTAATGAATCACTCATCTCTGAAAATGTGTATGTACATACCACCCACCTTTTCAATGTGTTTTGTCTTTTTGGTAACTGCTTTAGCAAAATATAATTGACATACCATACCCCCACCCTGCCCCCAAAACCCCTCTGGAAATCCACTGTGTATTTTCTATGCACTTATATTCACTATTCACAAATTTGAATGAATGCTTCAAAAGTACACTTATTGGCCAGGCGTGGTGGTGCATGCCTTTAATCCCAGCACTTGGGCGGCAGAGACTGGTGGATCTCTGTGAGTTCGAGGCCAGTCTGGTCTACACAGTGAGTTCCAGGGCAGGTGGGGCTACAGGGAAACCCTTTTTAAAAAAAAAAAAGTACACTTATCATGTGTGAGTTCAGAGGACGCTTTTTTTTTTTTTTTGGTCTTTTTGAGACAGGGTTTCCTTGCAGCCCCAGCTGTCCTGGAACTCACTGTGTAGACCAGGCTGGCCTTGAACTCACAGAGATCTGCCTGCCTCTGCCTCCCGAGTGCTGGGACTAAAGGCGTGCACCACCACACCTGGCTAGGACAACTTCTGGGTTCTCAGGTTTGGTGGCAAGCACCTTTACTCACTGAGACATCTCTCTGGCTCCTTGATTGAATTTTTTTAAACATATAGGGATGTCCTTTCTTTCTTATTACAAATCTAGACTCAGGAATAGTGTCTGGGCCACCTATATTCGTACAAACCTGTAATCCCAGCACCCGAGACGCTTGAAGCAAGAGGATTTTGAGAACCGTGAGTTCTAGGCCAGCTTGGGCTATTATAGCAAGACCGTCTTAGAATAAA